CCCCAAAACCCCAAAACCCCAAAACCCCAAAACCCCAAAACCCCGAAGGTTAAATAAATATTTGAACTTCTTGTTAATAATAAAATGCCTTTTAAGAGCAGCGCTAGATGGGCTTTATTTATTGCTTCGATTTTATTAATTTTTGGGCTTTTGATAGAGCCAAATCCACTGAAGTGTTCTGATAATTCAGAACATTTCCAAGGGTATCTTCCTACTGCAACTTTCCAAGACCAACCAAGTGTACTTAGAGGCAAGACTTTGATGCGAAATGGTAGGGTTTGACCTTATTAATAACTTTAGGCCTTCAATATGGTTGAAGAAATAGTCAGATAATCGACTTGGATCAGGGAAGCACGTTCCACCGATGTAATACATTCCAGATTTTTCTTTCTTTGAACCCATCAGGATGGAGGGTTAGTCAGATTGGAAATCAATGCTGCGAGCAAGTACTGGACTCTAGAAATAATCATCCCAGAAGAGACTCATCTTCTGACTATTATTTCTCGGTGAAGGGAACAAATTGTCAGAAAGAAGATACCGAAATTGGATTTTATAATGATTTTTCATTTGCTATTGCTAAAATTGCACAAAAAATTGATAATTTCATTGGACATATACTGAAAATCTTACTCCCAATGGCTTCAGTCAGAGCGGAAGAGTCCTATTTATCAGCCTTCCAGAGACTCAGCTCAGAGGAACTTCAGCTTGAACAATTAGACGAGGCTGAATTTTTCAGCAACCCCTATGACGAATTCTCTGATTATGACAAGAGAAATCATGTATACTTTGGAAAAACAGCTGGTGAAAATCAATTGGATCACCTCGACCAAGAAGATCTCAAAGATTTTATCATCTGGAGCTATCATCATGGGAAGGAGCACTTACTCAAAGACACATGAGACTGATATCCCTATGAAGTAGAAGTTGACGAGAATGGCATCCTCACGTTTTTGAGTAAGAACTCTACAGGAATAAAAATGACAGATGAGCAAGGAAAGACAGCCTCCTTACCCAAAATTATTAAAAGGTATGATATCAAGAAGCTTTTGGAAGAAAGTCCAGCTCTCATTCCAGAGATTGAAGATTTAATATTCACAGTGTCGGTAAATAACGATATTGTAGCAATCAACCCTCAGAGAAACGATCAAGACAAAGGTCTAGCGATGAAGGAAAACGGTTTGAGAGGGCTCAGAGGCAACACTGTGTTTTTGCATAAATAAAATTTATAATCTTCTTGGAATATCTCTTGAGGATGGCTACATTATCTATAATATTACTCACTCTGAAGTTGTCCAAATTGAGAACAGTGACCTTATTCCTTTAAATTACGCACTAGATGGTCCTAAGAATCCTACTATTGTTGATGACATCGAAACTGATATTCCTACATTGAACACAAATACAACTGATTCTCATAAATACACGAAGATTCTAGAACTAATTCATAAATCAGAAGGAATTTTAAATTGGATTGATGAGTACTCTAATCACATTCTCGTGGTCCTCTTTGTATATTGATTTTTAATAATTGCCACATGCTCCTGGTGATACAAATACGGAAAGAAGAAGGAGGAAGTCCAGGTTATACACCATGAACTAAGTCAGAGTAATGCTAGCCATAATCAAGAGTCTCAGTTGGCCACTACCTATCCTAAAGTTCCACATAGCCACAGGCTTGGACCAAAGAAAATGCTTGAAGCTAAAATTCCAGAATTTGAACTTGAAAAATCAAGGAAATCTAATGAAGAAGAGGAAGAAAAATCCAGAAAGATCAGCGATGTCAGTGTGTTTACTCATAATAACAAGACTGGAACTCTTGAAGTACACCTAGATGATCCCGAAAGAAAATTACCTCCAAGAAAAAGCTCTTCTCCAGAACTTGCATTGGAGAAGGCTAATACCCTTGGATTTGTCTCAAGAAGAAACAGAAATTTCCCAAATTGATCAAAGATTGAGGAAGAAGCACCTAGTCATAGCGTTTCCCCAACAGGATCATTTAAGAAGAGGAGGGATCTTTTTGCTACACACAAAGAGAAGCACGTAGTGGAGGACTATTACGTTTCCAATAATAAGGTATTTGTCAAAGAGGTACAAACAAAGACTACCACATTGGAAAACAAACCTGAACTTCATAAAATACTATTCAAGGAGTTTAATGAAAGAGGAGCTCGAGAGGCATCTAAATTAGTATCTAAAAAGACATGATCATTTAAAAACAAGCTGATTCCAAACTTGGATGCTATCGAAGATACAGAAGAGATTGATTATACAGATGAGAGTTTTGCTAAGATGAAGTACCACAATAAAAATGTAGCCAATGCTATCTTTCAAAGAAACAGAAGCAAGACTTATAAGGAAGATTCTGAATATTTCAATATTTCCGAGATGGATAAGAAGTTTTCTAGAAACGAACGAAAAGCCAATACCAACAATGGATCTACTTATAGTAACAAGTTGAATCATACTCCTCAGCAAGAGGAAGAATCTAAGCCTTCTGAGAAGGATGTGATCCAAGCTCTTGTTGTAAGTAAACCAATTCATAAAAGCCAAAATATTGATGAAAACATTAGAGAAGAACCTATTGCTCGAGTGATTCGCTCTCTGAAGAAGAATTACACTAATAATGAGATTGAAGAGAGGGTTATAGTACAGAATTCAGAAGAGATCGCACATGAGGACAGACTGATAAAAGATCTCAGGAATTACACTCCAGGAAATGCTATTAAAAGTAAAGAAAACCCTATCATCTCCAACTTTGAAGAAATGAAGACAGATCTGATCAAGAATTCTGAGAATGGAAAAGTTATGGAAATCAGTAGCTCAGGGCCTAACGAGGAGGACGAAGACTCTGTTATCTTCATTGATCAAGGCAAGAGCGAGGGTTCAGCCAGTCAGATACAAGATACACCGACTCCTAGACTCTATCAAGATACAGGATATCTGTCGAGAATAACATCTGAAGACCAAGAAGAGGACAAAGATACAGTCAAAGATTTTATCTCAGAAAATTTTACTAAAGAAGAGGATAAATGCCAAATATCATTGGAGGAAAAGGAAGAATTTACAACTGAAGAGTTAAGAATAGAGGACTTTGTGCCAAGATCCTCCCCCTTGTTCAAGCATCTGGAGTGAGGAAAGACCAATTCATTCCAATACCTAGACTCAATAGGCAAGGGCGGCTTTGGGTCGGTTGTCAGGGCAATGCATATCTTAGACAATAATATATATGCGATTAAATAAGATTAAACTCCACCTTGGAATTGACCAGGATATCAGAGACCATAAAGTCTTCAGAGAGGTGCAAGCAATGACAATAGTCAACCATGTCAATGTTGTAAGATACTACACCAGTTGGCTGGAAATAGTCCCGAAGGAAGAACAAGAAAAAGAGAGAAAGAAAATGTTAAGAAGATTCAATGGATACAGGAAAACAATTCGCGAAAACAGATTCACTAAAGCACGACAGAGTACTGAAGAGATTAAGGAGATTAGAGAAGATAGTTCAACCCCTAGTCCTTATGGTTACAGACCTAGCTCTAATAATGATTCTGATAGTAACATTGAGTGGGAGGATAACAACAGTAAATCAGAATTTACTCCTTACAAAGATATCTCCTTATCAAACCAAAATAAGAATGGATACAGAATGGAGACAAGCCAGAGTGATGGAGACTCTATCTTCCAGAAAGGAGAGGATTCTCGGGGTCAGAGATCGTTCTATGATTATACCCCAAACGATGAATATTGCTCAGAAAGTAGTGAATCCTCTGTTTCATTTGACAGTGTAGTTGACTTTACTTCTTGCTTCAAATATTTGGAGGTTAAGAAAGATTTTGTCACCTGCAATTTAAGGATACAGATGGAAATATGCTCTGGACACTCCCTCAAAGAGTATATCTCAAATAGAAATGATAAAAACCAGGATATAGATAGGAAGATTAATTTTAAATTCTTCAAGCAAATTACTGAAGGAATCAAACATGTCCACAGACAAGGAATAATCCATAGAGATCTAAAACCAGCAAATGTATTCATCACTGGAGATAAAGAAATCAAGATCGGGGACTTTGGACTAGCCAGGGCTTTTGATAAGGAGGATACCAAGAAGCTTGCAAATGTGTTCAACAATCAGTACTCTACAAGAAGAATCTCGATGAAGAAAAAGACTTTCACTAAATCTAGTCTTTCTCTAAAAGTTGGAACTCCTCTCTATCTCAGCCCAGAGCAAGAAGACGGACTATTCTATGACGAAAAGGTTGATATATTCTCAATTGGCTTGATCCTTTTTGAGCTATGCAACAAATTGGTAACAAATCATCAGAAAATCCAAGGTTTCCAGGACTTAAGGAACGGATACTTGCCTGAAGAGGTTGAAGAGAACATGAAACCGGAAGCTAAACTACTACTCAAACTCACCAACACAGATCCTAGCCAGAGGCCATCCGCTAGCGACATACTGAAGTGTAGGGAATACAAAGAATGGAGGAAGGAAGTTTACTCTGAGGATCCGTTAGATGAGTTTGAATAAGGATAATTTCTGCACTACTTACCTGACTACCCACATTTGAATTTTAGTTCAATTGAATTAAACTGTACAGGGGTTTTGGGGTTTTGGGGTTTTGGGGTTTTGGGGTTTTGGGG